CTCTCTCTCTCTCTCTCTCTCTCTCTTTCTCTCTTCCCCAGCACTCTTACGATTCTTAGTTTATATTTTAAATTTACAACTTATACTATCCCGGGAAAACTCAAACTTAAATATATGATAGACCAAGCGTATACCACCCTTTTTTTTGATATTACACATATAGTTAAAAATGCAGAAACAGTGTATTGAATTGGAAAGTGATAAAAAATAAGTGAAGTTTCGATGTTGCACGTGATTGCATGTGCATACAGGACATTTTTAGCGAATAAAAAATAGTTTTGGAAGACTCGAGATTTATCTTGTATTTTATGAACTTTCTGTGTCCCAACCTCTGGAAGCTCTCTATTTTATGAAGCGTTTTAGATTAGCCGGAATATTTTGTATTTACATAGAAGAAATATACGTTTCAAATGGAATATTTAATCAGGCTCTTGATACTGTGGCGGCACTTGACAGTAAGCTTCCCAACAGTTTACGTCGCGTGACGCACGACACGAAGACCCTATACCTGCGGACAAGATGATTGCTAGATGTCGTTGCATTCGTACCAAATATTTCCAGCTAGCCTAAGGACCGTTATAAATCTTAAGATTTATTTTAGCTATGGTCCTCCAAAGAGACAAACAGTTTTTGTTTATCAGTCTGGAAGTCGACCACCTACGGGGATACATGAAAAATCTGCTATCTGTCACGTACGATGCTTCGCGCTAGCACACCCCCTCAAGGGCAGCTAGCATCCTTTTCCAACGACCAACACGGATTAGCCAATAAACATTAACGTACATTTCCCTCACTTTCCGAGCCAAAGCTTTTCTCAACGAATCCGATGCCTTCGCATCCCTAGACACATCCCAACGAGTCTTCCTCCGCAACAGCATCGCGACGAAAAGTCAGTCTATTACCGCGAGTCAACATATCACCATCGTTATATTTACACGGTTCGAGCCGAATAATAGTCTAAGCTCTCGACATCTCGAGCAATCATTTTCCGCACTCGCAGCGTATCTGGAATCGTAGTTATCCAAACTCTATCGTATAACCGCGCATTTGCGAACCGAATATAATCGCGAAACCTGCTTCAAGTGTATTCATTGACATTGGAGTGAATAAACATTTATCGTTCAATAAATTTGAGTTTTTCTTCCGAACCTATCACGACATATCCCCTCAAAGTGGTGACCCCGACGTGGTTATCAGTGAAAGAGGTGACAGTGATAGTGCTCCTAAAACGTAACACCGTGAAGCTAAATCAGTTCAAAATGTACAATAACGCTCATTCCGAACGTACGACGGCCGCCGGGGACAACGTAGTCTCGATAAACGTTCCTTTCCGCATGCCACCGATCTGGCCTGACAAAGTCGACTTGTGGTTCAGGATTCTGGAAGTGCAGTTTGAAAATTTCGGGATCACAGGCGACCAGGAGAAATTCCAGGCCGTCATCATGAATCTCGACGAGTCGCACTTGAGTTTAATTCGAGACGTATTCGACGTCTCACCGGCGACCGGGCGTTACGCCCACGTCAAAATGGAGCTCATGAATAGATTGGGAGAGTTGGATGCCAGGAGACGTATACTCGAAAACGAACAAATGGGGGACAGGAAGCCCTCGCAATTTTACCACGATCTAAAAAGCCTAGCTGTCAATTTGTTAGCGGACGATGTAATCCTCACCATGTGGGAAGGTCGACTTCCACCGCCCGTACGGAACATCCTAGCCTCTGTACAGAACAGTGATCCGGAATCCCGTACAGAAATTGCTGATAAAATTTACGAGGCCATTCTGGAATCAAGGCAGATCGCCGCACCCAGCGCAGGCCGACTACCTGCGATAACCCTCCCACCTGACCAGAACAGCGGAGTAGGCGACGCCACAGCAGCCTTCAACTCGATCACCGAATTGTTAGCGCGATTCGAAACCGATATGAGAGAGATGCTAGCTCAAGTAGCTGAGCAAAGAAGCAATGAACACCGTAGGGCACGAGCACAATCACGCTGGCGTACACAATTCCGCCGTCGTTCGCGCCCTCGCGATCCGCCGCCGTTCGTGCCCTCGCGATCCGCCGCGGCAAGGCGGACTGTGTTACCTTCACGCACAATTCCGAGAAACCACGAGAGAGTGAACACTCCCTTACTCATGAATTTCGGGATGCGGGACCAGCCGTCCGTGGCTGCAAGAGACGAGGTTTTTGTGTCTCGCCGCATATTCCTAACAGACACGAACTCAGGGATCTCCTTCCTCGTCGACACCGGCTCCGATTTTTGCTTATACCCGCGCTGCATGCTACACGAATACGTGTTCGGAAGCGAGTACATGCTGGTCGCGGCCAACTGCACACATATCGCATCCTATGGCTCTATTTCGATCAACCTAGACTTGTCCTTACGCAGAATGTTTAACTGGGATTTCATCGTAGCCGACGTCCTCATGCCCATCATCGGCATAGATTTTTTAAGCCACTACGGGTTGCTCGTGGACCCGCGAAACAGAAGGGTTATCGATACAATAACACTGACGTCATCAATGGGATAAACCGCCACAACAGACGAAGCGTCTGTCAAGACCATCATCGCTGAATCACCATATCACCCACTTCTGGCATAATTCCCGGACCTCACCCGCCCACCGATCTTCGGACGATAGAGAATTCGACACGGTGTGCTACACCACATCGAAACTACACCTGGTCCACCAGTCTACAGCAAATCGCGTCGGCTTGCACCTGATCGACTTAAAGAGGTAAAAGCGGAATTCGAACGTATGATCGAGCAAGGCGTGTTGCGACCATCGAAAAGCCCGTGGGCATCACCCTTGCACGTAGTGTCGAAAAAGGACGGTAACTTGCGACCATGCGGCAACTATCGCGCGTTGAACGACCGCACCGTACCCGACAGGTACTCGCCGCCATATATCGAAGATTTCGCGCAACATCTCCACGGTAAGCGTATATTTTCAAAAATCGACCTAGTCCGCGCTTACCATCAAATCCCGATAGCGCCCGAGGATATCGAAAAAATCGCGATAACAACGTCTTTCGGACTTTCGGACTTTTCGAAGCAACAAACATGATGTTTGGGCTTCGGAACGCCGCGCAAACATGTCAGCGTTTCGTCGACGAAATCACACGCGGGCTCGACTTCGTTTACGCGTACATCGACGATTTCCTCATAGCCTCGGACGACGAAAACCGACACCGCGAGCATTTGAAAATCTTGTTCAACCGTCTTAACGATTACGGGGTTGTGATAAACCCCACGAAATGCGAATTCGGCGTGCGTGAAATCACATTCCTCGGATACTCGGTAAACCCCGACGGAATTAAGCCTCCGCCCGAACGAGTCGAAGCGATCGTAAAATTGCCGAAAGCCGCGAACGCCAAACAGCTACGTAGGTACCTCGGTATGATAAACTTTTACCGACGTTTCATACCGGGCGCCGTAAAAACATTCAAGCCACTTAACGACATGTTAAAAGGCGCGAAAAAGGGCAACGCGCCCAACGAATGATCGGAACAGTCGGAAAACAGCTTTCGCGAATCGCAACGTGCCCTTGCGGACGATGCTGGCGCATCCGATACCAGGTGCGCCGATCAGTCTCACGGTAGACGCGTCCGACTACGCAATAGGGGCAGTATTACAACAACGCGCGAATAACGAATTACAACCGCTAGGATTCGCAACGAAATCTTTGACCCTCGCTCAGCAAAAATATAGCGCGTACGATCGCGAACTACTCGCAATATACACCGCAGTCAAACATTTTCGACACGCCTTAGAAGGCAGAAACTTTACGATATATACCGACCATAAACCTCTCACCTTCGCGTTCAAACAAAAATTAGAAAAATGTTCACCGCGACAATTCCGACATTTAGACTACATAGGACAATTCACCACCGACATTCGAAACATAAAGGGCCTAGACAACAACGTAGCCGACGCTCTGTCACGCATCAACGCGATAGGAAAGTCGGTGGATCACCAAACTCTCGCCGTCGCGCAAGAAAACGACAACGAACTCCGCGACATCGTAAATTCCAACACAACCGCGTTACGGTTAAAGAAGATACGCTTTCCTGAGCACGACGCGGAAATATATTGCGACGTATCAAACAACATTGTAAGACCGTACGTGCCGAAATCCTTGCGACGCGATGTATTTAATTCGCTCCACGGACTTTCCCCCTCAAGGGATACGCGCAACGCAAAAACTGGTGACGTCGCGTTTCATTTGGCTATTCATAAATAAAGATTGCCGGACTTGGGCACGACAATGTATCCCGTGTCAACGATGCAAAGTCACCAGGCACGTATCCTCGCCCGTCGGAACATTCGGAGAATTAGCAGGCCGTTTCGAACACGTACACATAGACATTATCGCGATGCCATTTTCACAGGGCTACCGATATTGTCTAACGTGTATTGACCGCTTTTCGCGTTGGCCCGAAGCCATTCCCATCGCCGACATGGAGGCAACAACCGTCGCTTCAGCCCTCCTTTCCACATGAATAGCTCGGTTCGGCGTACCTTTAAAAATAACGACCGGTCAAGAACGCCAGTTCAAATTAAACCTCTTCAATGAACTGTACCGGTTGCTTGGCATCAAGCATTTACGCACAACAGCCTATCACCCCGCGTCCAACGGGATCGTACAGCGCCTACACCGACAACTAAAGGTAGGAAATAAAATGTCACAATACGAGCAATTGGGTAGAAATCCTACCAATTGTTTTATTAGGCATAAGAACCGCTTTCAAGAAGGACCTGAACGCGACGGCAGCCGAAATGGTTTACGATACCGGCATACGATTACCGACTGAGTTCTTCGCATCAACGATGCAACAGGCCAATACGGAATTCGCGAACCGTTTAAAAGAGCAAATAGAGAAAATCAGGTCTCACCCGATTACGCGACACGGTGAGTAGAAAACCTTCGTGTTCTGCGACCTCGAAACAGCACCATATGTATTTGTACGCCACGACGCGAGCGGAGGTCCCTTACAACCACCGTACGACGGACCTTACCAGGTTATACAGCGTGGAAAAAAGACTTTTACCATCAAAATAAATAACAAAAATGTAATAGTCTCCCTAGATCGATTGAAACCCGCTTTTACTGTATCTGACGACATCGAACAACAACAATTAGAAACTAGCGCAGGAACCCACGACATGTTTATACAGGTTAAAACCACAACTACGCAAAACACCGAGCGGGCACAGCAACGCGAAGACGACTCAAGAAGTCGGTATACCACGCGCTCGGGCAGGAGAATTCGCTTTCCTGATTATTTCCAGGCAGGTTTTAAATAAGTAGCACGTAAGATCTATCAAAAAATGTATAAAACGTTATCACTGGTAAGGGGGTACTGTGGCGGCACTTGACAGTAAACTTCTCAACAGTTTACGTCGCGTGACGCACGACACAAAGACCCTATACTTGCGGGCAAGATGATTGCCAGATGTCGATACATTCGTACCGAATATTTCCAGCTAGCCTAAGCACCGCTATAAATCTTAGGATTTATTTTAGCTAAGGTTCTCCAAAGAGACAAACAGACTTTGTTTATCAGTCTCGAAGTCGACCACCTACCACGGGGACACACGAGAAATCTGCTATCTCGCTATCTCGCTAGATGCTTCGCGCTAGCACACCCCCTCAAGGACAGCTAGCATCCTTTTCCCACGACCAACACGAATTAGCCAGTAAACATTAACGTACATTTCCCTCACTTTCCGAGCCAAAGCTTTTCTCAACGAATCCGATGCTTTCGCATCCCTAGACACATCCCAACGAGTCTTCCTCCGCAGCAGCATGGCGACAAAAAGTCAGTGTATTACCGCGAATCAACATATCACAATCGTTATACTTACAGAGTTCGAGCCCCCCCTCTCCCACCTAGCATCCTTTTCCAACGACCAACACGAATTAGCCAATAAACATTAACGTACATTTCCCTCACTTTCCGAGCCAAAGCTTTTCTCAACGAATCCGATGCTTTCGCATCCCTAGACATATCCCAACGAGTCTTCCTCCGCAGCAGCATGGCGACAAAAAGTCAGTGTATTACCGCGAATCAACATATCACAATCGTTATACTTACAGAGTTCGAGCCCCCCCTCTCCCACCTAGCATCCTTTTCCAACGACCAACACGAATTAGCCAATAAACATTAACGTACATTTCCCTCACTTTCCGAGCCAAAGCTTTTCTCAACGAATCCGATGCTTTCGCATCCCTAGACACATCCCAACGAGTCTTCCTCCGCAGCAGCATGGCGACAAAAAATCAGTCTATTACCGCGAATCAACATATCATCATCGTTATACTTACATGGTTCGAGCCGAATAATTGTCTAAGCTCTCGACATCTCGTGCAATCATTGTCCGCACTGGCAGCGCATCTCGTATCGTAACTATCCAAACTTTATCTTATAACCGCTCATTCGCGAACCGAATATAATCGCGAATCCTGTGTTAAGTGTACTCATTGACATTAGAATGAATAAACATTTATCATTCAATAAATCTGAGTTTTCCTTCCGACCCTATCACGACATATCACCTCAATACATCCAAAACAAAATTTACAGAACTTCTCAGAAAGTTGGTTTATTATTACCAAAATTAGTCTAAATATAATTAGTAAAAATTTAATAAATGCTCGTTTATCATCTCTACGTATCTAAGTCATGCAAATATAGCGTACGTAAAAAGTTAGCGTCGTTTCAAAGTAGCATTTCATGCATTTTAAGACTATAATTCTTGACGTAAAAGACAATATAAATCTGAGCTGCCTCTTATCTCCACAATAATACATTCCAACTTTATTTTTCGTGCACGAAGAATGATATTTATGGGATACTAATAATTTTGTAACACTGGGATAACGAAGTCGTCGAGGTACGACGTAACTCTCATGTAAATGCCCGGATAACCAGGTACGCCGCATTTATGACCAGATGACACAACACCTATTTGATAGTAGGTGAATTGCTGTGGTATCATCAGTGGTCCTCCGCTGTCAGCCTGAAATGATCGTTAAATTTTTAATCATAGTTACTGAAATATTTCAATCGAATTGTATTGAAATTATACTTATATACAGTAATAATCTATTATTGACTTATGTATTGAAATATTCCAATTTAGAATGTATATATTGTATGTATTTTGAAAAAAATTAAGATTAGAAGGAGATTAGATTAAAGACCATAATTATGTGTGAGAAATGGGCAAAACTATTAAATTGTGTTTATCTATTATTTTTTATGTTCAAGACGTTGATTTGATGTTGATTCGAATTGACATGTCCTCAGACACCGTATAATTTATAGTAAATCTGTAATGTAATTACTCCACAAGCATCCTTTCCACCTCGAGGGTCTCCGCCGGCGCATATTTCTTTATTGGTGATAGTTATGTCAAAATCCTCATAAGCTTTCTCGCATACGGCGTTGGTAACCACTGGCAGTTGCAGTTCCATTAATGCGTTAGTATATGATTCACCTACAAAGAAAATGGGAAGGATATTTAAGAATGAAAGTATTTCATTTTATCATAAAACTGATATCACTTACTAAATTTTAATGCTCCCCATCCAGCAATGAAGGGATTATAGCCCACGAAGTTTTTATTTCGAAGAGATTTCTCTATGGGGAGACAAATGGGATGTATGTACTCTGAAAAATAAGAAAATAAATGAAAGTGAAGGAAACGAATGACGAAAAGTATGAGAAAGAATTGAACATGATTTATGATACAATATATGTGTACAGTAAGAAGTTTCAGCAATACCCAGTAGCATAAATATTAGAAACTCAACAATAGTTAAAGACTTACCCGAAAATGGAACATTGTCCTTCAGTTTAAGAATAGCAATATCATTATTGTTCGACTCGGCAGAATAATCGGGATGTATTAGTTTAGATTCGACTTCTATTTGAACAGGATGCGCTCCGTCGTCATCTCGTTTTAGATTTAAGTCCCCGATACGAACCACGTACAAATCATCGTTATCTGCACAATGTGCTGCAGTCAAAACATGCCTAGCCGATATTAGGGTACCTGCGCACAGCCATTGTGTTACCCAATGCGGGTTTGAGCAATTACGGAATCCTACTGCAGCGATCCATGGCCAAGCACCTGAAACGCAATAGACATAGTTGTGAACATGCATAATTTTTTCTCGCGTGATGAGTTAGAAATTATTGTTATCCATTGAACATTCGATGATGCAGGCCCTCAAATAGAAATTTGATTAAGAGAGACATTGAATTTTGACTTCAATGGAACAACACTTATTAGTTAATTCTATACAATTTCCATTTGAAATATACTGAACTCTAAAGTTCGAATATGTAATTTCTTCCCGAACACTTTTTCATCGCCATCCGTATCATTACTCGTATGTCAATTTTTAATTTCAAGTAAAAACATACTCTTTCTAACACGAACTAAAAGGAGGAAATAATTCAAGTTAATAAACAAAGTTACTACCAATGAAACCGTTGTATTATTATTTAAATTAATTGAAATGTACTTTGATGTGCTGTTTAGTGTCTTTAAAGTTCATCCTTCATAGTAAATCGCTTCCTTCGTAACCTTCGTAATCGTAACCTTCATATTATATCGCTTATTATTAATCGGAAAGGAATAGATAAAACGTACCAAGTTTAGCTGGTCTACCACCAACCACCCTGGTATGCGTTACGTTGCTGAAACCACAGTGTGGTGGACGCAAGGGCACATCCGAGGTTGCTATAAAACATTTATAGTGAAAAAGGTTATTATATTTAGAGAATTGACAGTAGAGTGATGAATTAATTCGTC